CAAAATCACTGCAGATGGTGACTGCAGCCATGAAATTAAAAGATGCTTACTCCTTGGAAGCAAAGTTATGACCAACCTAGATAGCATATTAAAAAGCAGAGACATTACTTTGCCAACAAAGGTCCGTCTGGTCAAGGCTATGGTTTTTCCAGTGGTCATGTATGGATGTGAGAGTTGGACCATGAAGAAAGCTGAGCGCCAAAGCATTGATGCTTTTGAACTGTGGTGTTGGAGAAGACTCTTGAGAGTCCCTTGGACTGCAAGGAGATCCAACTACTCCATCCTAAAGGGGATTAGTCTTGGGTGTTCACTGGAAGGGCTGATGCTGAAGCTGAAACTCCAATACTTTGGCCACCTCATGCAAAGAGTTCACTCATTGGAAAAGACCCTGATGCTGGGAGGGATTGAGGGCAGGAGGAGAAGGGGACGACAGAGGATGAGAAGGCTGGATGGCATCACCGACTCCCGATGGACTTGAGTTTGAATAAACTCCAGGAGTTGGTGATGGACAGGGAGGCCTGGCGTGCTGGGATTCATGGGGACGCAAAGAGTCAGACTCCACTGAGTGACTGAACTGAACTATCTTTCTGACAGTTTTTCAGTCTTCAATGTGCAAGAGAAATAATTTAAAATCAATAATGTTGCTCTTGCATCCTTTAGAAGATATTTTAACAAACAATTTTTAAAATGGCAGAGCTGAAATTTTACATTAGTTTATGGACTCTAGACTGTCGTAAAATATGACATAAACATAAAGCATGATCTCAAACTACTACAAAAAATAATCATTTTATGCTATTCCACTGCATATATTGCTCCCAAGATCTGTAACCTAATTGTACATGTCATAGTAAGTTTTTCTTCTTGAAACAGGAGAATCTCTGGGACTTTTTGATTTCTGAAAATTTTCTGAGAAATTCTGGCCCACTGAGTTCATTCTATTTATAAGGACATTTTTTTTTACTCCTGTTCTACAGAACTGAATTGCATCTCCACCTACACTCATCGCGGCATTTCCCTACTTCCCTGGGATCCCAACACGAACCACATTCCACTGGGAATCTCAGATACCAGTGAATTCCCGTGTTCATTTCTCACAAAGGGAAGTCACTAATTCTTCTTGAGAATTCATCATTCTGTACAGAAAGCCAGAATAGAATGAAGAAAACGCTGTGGGACACAAGGGAGAAGCAGTCTAAGAGCTAGTCTTCACCATTATAAGAAATAAAGGAAAAAAGAAGACATTGACAACAACAAACCCCCAGGGAGAAACATTAGAATCAGAGAGTAAAGGTGTGCAGCTTCTCAGCCCAGGCTTTCAGGAGGAAAACCAGACACAGCCCCCAACCCGGAACAGGAGGTTTACCTGAGAAACGGCCATTTCCTCCTCTTCTGCCGCCTGCTCTGCGTCTTCTTTGGGGATATTGTGTCCCAAACTCACACACATGCTAAAAAATATCTTTAAAGGCATCCACACAGCTCTTTCAACTCCAGCTGCTGCGGTGAAAAGAAAGAGAACGACTTCTTCTTTCTCTCTCCCTTTTCTGAGCTCTTTTCTGACTTCCTCTGTCCCTCACCTGTAGTGGGTAATTAAGATTAAGCTGATATGCTAATCACATCCTAGGTTTGGTGCTCACTTTCCCACTCTCTTTGCAGACCACCCATGAGTTCTCTTTCTTTTCGCATTAGAGAGACCAAGCCCCAGAACAATTCACAAGAGGCAAGAAACTCAACTTCTGGGCTACCTGACTCAGCCTCTGAGGGTCTTTGAAACAATGCAGCAGGAAGACCAGCTTCCAGGAGCCCTGAGCTTGAGCCCTCAGCTCTGCCTGCCCCAGAGCTCTGGAGCAAGGGTTGAGGGTGGGATCTTCTAGAAACAAAGAACCTCACCCTGATTCCCTACAGAAGGGCTCTTTATCAGATGGGTGTGTCCCTGCAAGGCCTGTGCCTCTGCCCTTGGGGGAGGGGAGGGCAGGGTTGAGTGTTTGGTGGGAATCACCTGGGGGCCCTGGGTTCCTGCAAGGCTTTGCTCTCAAGATTCTAGGAAAGTCCTTAGTTTTTGGTTTGTTTTTTACTCCCCTCTGTAACCTGGGGACAGAGGTTTGCACAAAATGATTTGCACTGTGACCACCTCTCTTCAGCTGGCAGGTCTGCTCCAGCAAGACCAGGAGCCTGGAGGTGTTTCCATCACAGCTTTCTTTGAGAATAAATCAGGGGCAACAGTGGACGTTGGGTTAACAGTGTGTGTGTGCAGGGACAGGTGCATTTGAAAAATGATGCCCTAAAATCTATCCGGTCACCAACCAAGGAAACAATGATCAGTGTTAAGTCATAAGTGAACTTACCCATAAATTAACGCATGAAACAGATTCTCTGATGGCTCAGAGAGAAAGAGTCTGCCTGCATGTGGGAGGCCCCAGTTTGATCCCTGTGTCTGGAAGATACCCTGAAGAAGAAAATGGCAACCCTTTGCTGTATTCTTGCCTGGAAAATCCTATGGACAGAAGAGCCTGGTGGGCTACAGTCCATGGAGTCCCAAGGAATCAGACATGGACTGAGCGACTTCACCTTCACTTTCAACACAGAAAAATGTTGCTGCTCTACTTCATGTTTGTATTTCCAAGCTTTATGAATTATTTGCTACAGTTTCTTCTCTGTTCTTGTGGAGAGTCCTCTTTTCTGACATCTTTAAAGGATAATTGACTAATGAAAAATTAAAGATAGGACCATATCCATTTCTCTAGTAGTATATATTCTAAAAATTAATCACTGTGCATGTACCAGTACAACTATCTTAGATAATTGAGTTTCACTGCAGAATTGAGACTAAGGTACAGAGGTGTCCCATATACCTTTTGTTCCCTCACGAGGATAATCTCCCTACTTATGTCCCCACCAGTATGTACATTTGTTACCACTGATGAATATACATAGACATAAAACACAGTTTCTAGTTTCACCCTATGTTTCTCTTCTAGGGGTGTTCACTCTAGGATCTGAGCAAGTGTATGTGTCCATTACAAAACTTGTGTCCATTACAACAGCTTAACGCAATGATTTCATGATCCTGAACTCAGGATATTCATAGCCCCTCCTTTGCCACAAATAGCAACCACTGACCAGTTTAATCTCTTCAAAATTTCTGAATGAATTCTCAGGTGGCTCCAGGGTAAAGAATCCATCTGCCAATGCAGGTGACTTGAGTGATGTGGGTTCAATTCTTGCATAAGTATCCCCTGAAAGATCCCCTGAAAGAAGAAATGGCCACCCTCTCCAGTGTTCTTTCCTGGGAAATGTCACAAACAGAGGAACCTGGCAGACTACAGTCCATTGGGTCCCAAAGACTCAGACACAATGGAGCACATAAGAACCTTTACCTGCACCAAAATGCCATGTTATAAAAATCGTACTTCTTGTGGCATTTTCAGATGGACTTCCTTCACTTAGTAAAATGCATGGAATTATTGTCTATGTATTTTATACCTTGAAAGCTTAATATAAAAAAACTTAATATCTATGTTTGCAGCTCTAGTTCTGCTCTTTAAATAGTATCATCAATAATATTTTCTAGATTCCATACGTACATATGTCAAAACTTATTTTCACAAATATAGAGAATAGACCTGTGGACACAGTGGGAGAATGAGAGGGGGCCCAATTGAGAGAAGAGCCTCAACATATATTCACCACAATGTGTAAAATAGGTAGCAAGTGGGAAGCTGCTCCATAGCACAGAGAGCTCAGTGTGGGGCTCTGTGATGTCTAGAGGGGTGAGACAGAGATTGTGGGAGGGAGGTTCAAGAGAGAGGGCATACATATAGGTATGGCTGATTGACGAAGTTGTCCAGCAGAATCTAACACATTGTAAAGCAATTATATTCCTATAGAAAGAGAAAAACAACAGGCTGATAACACAGTGCTTAGGAACCCACCTGACAGTGCAGGGCCCTCAGGCCTCATCCCTGGTCCAAGAATACTCCACATGCTCTGGGGAGACGAACCCTGTGCTCCACAGCTGCTGAGGCTGGCTGGGGCAACTTGGTCCTTTAGATGGGAATGAAGCAAAAGAAAAATGCTCACCATCACTAAATAGTAAGAAATGCAGAACAAAACTACAGTGATACATCACCCCTTGACAGACAGAATAACTATTAGCAAAAAGCCAACTAATAATATCATAATCGCTGAAGAGGCTTGGAGATCAGGGAACCTCCTACATGGCTGGAGGGAGTGTAAGCTGGTGCAGTCACTTGGGAGGACAGTGTGGATGTTCCTTTAAAAACATAACCTCCTAAAAAAATAAAAATAAAAACATAACCTCCTGACATTTAAAGAAATGAATTCCCAGAATAGTAGACAAAATAGTTTAACTGAACAATTTATCAGATTTGCAGTTTTTAGTAAATCATCTACAATTCTGAAATGACCAATTGTGAGACAACATTTTTAAATTCTTTAAGTAAGTGTGAACGAATACACAGACACTCACATATTCCTTTTGTTTCTCACTGCCTGTATATCTTCAGATATATCTTTATTGTATTCAATGTGTGTTACATAAATTGTATAACACATACTCTTTCAGATATTTATATATTTCATTCAATGTATTTCAAAGTCATGAGAAACATGACTTTGGCCGAACATGGCAAAGATGATAGTTTCATTAAGTTAGACAAGGCTGTGGTCCATGTGATCAGATTGGTTAGTTTTCTGTGATAGGGTTTTCATTCTGTCTGTCCTCTGATGGAGAAGGGTTAGAGGCTCATGGAAGCTTCCTGATGGGAGAGCATATCTGAGGTTATTTATATTTCTCCCAGCAATCTTGATTCCAGCTTGTGTTTCACCCTGCCAAATGCACATGACCTACTGTGCATTTCAGTTAAATAAGCAATGTGAGAGCATACAGACTTGATGTACTCCATTCCCAATTTGGAACCAACCTGTTGTTCCATGTCCAGCTCTAACTGTTGCTTCTTGACCTGCATACACATTTCTCAGGAGGCAGGTCAGGTGGTCTGGTGTTCCCATCTCTTTAAGAATCTTCCACAGTTTCTAAATCCAGCTTGACTATCTGGAAGTCCTTGGTTCACATACTATTGAAGCCTGGCTTGGAGAATTTTGAGCATGACTTTCCTAGCATGTGAGATGAGTGCAACAACTGTGCCTCAGTTTGAGCAATCTTTGGCATTGCCTTTCTTTGGGATTCGAATGAAAACTGACCTTCCCATGTCCTGTGGCCAGGGCTGTTTTCCAAGTTTGCTGTCTTATTGAGTGCAGCAATTTAACAGCATCATATTTTAGGATTTGAAATAGCTCAGCTGGAATCCCGTTACCTTCACTAGCTTTTTTTGTAAGTGATCCTTTCTAAGGCTCATTTGACTTTGCACTTCAGAATATCTGGCTCTAGGTGCATGATCACACCATTGTGGTTATCTGGGTCATTAAGATCTTTTTGTATACTTGTTCTGTGTATTCTTGCCACCTCTTCTTAAAATATTCTGTTTCTGTTAGGTCCATACTGTTTCTGTCTTTTATTGTGAATGTTATTTGATTTATAAAATAATTGTATTTAAGAATGATTATTATTAATGTATTTCACACAAGTAGTTATGTTTTAAAATAAAACATATCACGCCCTGTCATTTAATTTTGACAGCATTTCTAAATGTATTATTTGTGTAGAAAGTTTCTCTTTATCTTGAAACTCTTACTGTTAAGCCAATAGGGAATATGGATTCATTTTATGCATCTAATCAAATGTAGGTATACTGAAAGAAGTAGAAGGTATTAGCCATTCAGTCGTGTTCAGTCGTGTCCAACTGTTTGTGACCCCATGGACTATAATCCGCTAGGTTCCTCTGTCCATGGAATTCTCTAGAGAAGAATACTGAAGCGGGTTGCCATTTCTACTCCAGGGGCTATTCCCGACCCAGGGGGTGAACGTGGGTCTCCTGGACCACATGTAGATTGTTTACTATCTGAACCGCCAGGGAAGCCCTCATTGTAGTCTGTTTTAAGGACTGCTCTATGACAGGGCTTCCGGAGAGCTCAGCTGATAAAGAAGCCACCTGCAGTGCAGGAGGGCACGGTTCGATTTCTGGCTGTGAAGATCCCCTTGAGCAGGGAAAGGCTATCCACTCCAGTATTCTGGCCTGGAGAGTTCCATGGACTGTATCATCCATGGGGTTGCAAAATGTCCGAAATGATAGAGTCACATTCACATTTCTAGGACAAATTTTATTTTTTATTAAAAGTTATAAAATTATATAAACATATATAAATTATGTAAGTATCAATAACATAAATGAAAAATTATATACATTATACAGAGTGAAGTATGTCAGAAAGAGAAATATAAATATCATATAAAAATGTGTATATATGGAATCTAGAACAATGGTACCAAGGAATTTATTTGCCGGGCAGCATTAGAGAAAAAGACAC